TGTTCTGTGCATGTCATACGATGGCACTCAAGATGATCTGCTCCATGACCTTCCCTGGCACTGAGGTCAGACTGATAGGTCTGTAGCTTCAAATCCTTCTTCTGGTTCTTCTTGTAGTTGGACATCACATTTGCTAACTTCCAGTCAACTGGGGACTCTCCAGTTAACCAGGACGACTGGTAAATGATGGAAAGTAGTAAGCTGTCGTCTCAGTTCCTTCAGTACCCTTGGGTGAATCCCAGTTGATCATGGAGACTTGCGTTTGTCTAAGTGGTACAGCAGGTCACTGACCATTTGCATTTGCACTGTAGGGGTTTCATTCTTCTTCCCATTCCTGTCTTCCAGCTCAGAGGGCTGGATACCCACAGAACAATAGGTCTTGTTATTCAAGACTGAAGCAAAGAAGGTATTAACTACTTCGTCTTTTTCCTCATCCTTTGTCATTGTCTTTCTCCTGCATACAATAAAGAATGGAGATTCTCCTTAACCCTTCTTTTGTTGTTAACGTATTTATAGAAACATTTTGTGTTGCCTTTTACTGTAGGAATCAAACTGAGTTCTAGCTGGGCTTTGTCCCTTCCAATTTTCTCACTGCATGTGGTTCATGACATCCTTGTAGTACTCCTGATTATCCTCCCAATGGTCTCCAAAAGGTGATACACTGGCCTTTTTTCCCTGAGTTCCAGGCAAAGTTTTCTGTTAAGCCAGGCTGGTCTTCTTCCTTTAGTATTTCAAGCACAAAAAATCACCTAGTCTAACTGACATAAGATATGATCTTCCTCATTCCTACAAAGGCCAATGCAACTTCATGTGTTTGGTGTTTGATTGACAACTAAACAGAGGTGGGATATTACAACAGCCAAACTCAAAGCTCCTATTTCCCTTGCTCCATTCACTGTGTGTATGGGTATTAGGGCTGGATAGAGTTGACACTGGCTGCCAATGACGTGAAAATATCAGGAAGCATCTGTAAGACTGGAAGGTCTTTTGATACATGAACAGTTTGATTCATTGACATAACCATTCAAAAGGGTTTGCTATTTTTCAAAAGTCTTATGCCAGCTTCTGACATTTTTAAAATATAATTTTTAATTTATTTATATTTTAAAGTTATTGAAAACATGCAGTAGGGTGTTTATGAATAGCTTATTTGTGTTCTCTGAAATGCACATATTGTTGTGAAGATTTTCTAGCTCATTTCTGAATTTGTTCCTGGCTACTGATTATCACTATTTAAATCTGTCCAGTCTAGGTCTCTTATTAAGGAGCCTAGATAGGCTTGTCTCTTTTTCACTCCCAGACTGTTCATGGTCTACTCACAACAAGAATAATCACCAATTTTATTTAATATTGTAATTAAGCAATTATATTAAAAGGTTGTAAAACATTAAGTGACCAATCCTTTTCAGTGGTCACTCTCTGGTGGAAGTAGCAGATACTCTGGCTAACCTAAAGGGATGTCACATAACTCTGGGACTCTCTTACTCATTGGTAATTGAGGTGACTCAGTTTCTGTAGGAATAATATCTCCACTGGGCCTAGGAATGGTCTGGAATTGAAAAAATTGGCAAGAGTTTTGATTTAATTTTGTCTTATCTTTCACTAGCATCTTATTTCACTGTATTGAAGTGTTATTGTCTATGCTTTAGAGCCAGGAAGAGTGAAGTATGTTCTCTAACAATCTCCCTGCGAATTAGTAGTATTCCTACTTGTGAATGGTCTGTTTCTCCAAAGGCAGTTTTTGACAGTATCTGGAGCTTCACTCCCAAAGAACTACTCACATGGTTTGACCATTGTTCTTAAAACTGCAGTGTTTCCTTTTGAATCTTTCAACCCAGAGACAGGTTAGAATTAGCACAGAACTTTTTTTTTATGAATGCAGTTGCAGGCTCTGCTGTTGATCAAACAGCTGGCAGAACAAGGAGCCTTTGCATACCAATCTGCCATAGCAGAAACAGATCAGCAGTTTTGATATCTTCACAAAAACAGATGTTCTCAAGAATTTTTCCATAAAATCAGTAATTAACTGCTTTAATTATTAAAAGCTTACTCTATTGACAAACTAACTAACCAGAGAATATCCTAAAATGAGCATTCAAGTCTTTCTTTTTGAGACAAGCAAGTAACAAGTTCCTGAGAAAAGATACATGCTGTCTCACAAGAAAACAACTAAAAAAAAAAAAAAAGAAAAAAAGAAAAACCAAGAAAAAAAGTCTTGTTCATTCCTGAGTTAATTCTTTTGACATGCATGTAACGAATGCTGTTTACTTGCCAGAAAACTAAACAAATAACAAGAACCGCTTTAGCAAATCACTAGTTGGCTCAAGCGGTTTTCATGAATTAATCTTTCTTTGTATAAATGTAAGACAGTAAAAAAAGGAGAACGAGAACTTGAAATCAGTAATGACATCCGTGAGCTCCCTCTGTGTGTTCTGCAGTAGCAAAACACTGCCAGGGACTATAGAAAGGGAGAGGGTTGCCATGCAGACCAGCAAAACAGCCCTCTGAAATGGCATGCTGACCCACTTTCAACTACCAGCTCTTGCTGACCCTTTGTTGAGTGAGAGGTTTTTCCAAGTTTTTGCTGTTTTTCACCCTTTCAGTTCTCATTTCTAAAGGGGCAAGCCTGTCTCTCTATTTATTCTTGTTTTCTTCTTCCTCCACTAGTATGCAATGAAGAAAAGCAGACTGATTCTTGTGACTGCCTTTCCTTTAGATAATTAAAAATAATCTCACATCCCTTCCTTTCTTAAGAACACACTGTGGAAGAAATATGGATCTTCCTATCAACAAAATTATGATCCAAATTCCTTAAGGGACTCATTCTGATCAGAGTAGTTCATCTATGAAAAACCATACTTTAATTGTTACTCTTCTTGATAGTGAAGGATAATAGTGTAATATTATACAAAATATTGGCACGTGCCATAGTAAAAAAACTTGTTTCAGTCTCGTAAGCAGCAGTGTGCAAACCCCCTTTTTAATTCAGGTTCAGATGTTGTGATTTAATCTAAATCTTTTGCTTCTCCTTCTTCCAAAACCAACAGAGGTTTAAAGAGAGCTGTATTTTTACTGGAACCATGTGCTCGGCTAAGTTGCCAAAATAATTTAAGCTAAAACTACTGTTTTTATTTGGGTTAAGGTTGACTCCTGAGCTGTACAGAGGTAAAGGCATTTAGATTGTCTTCCTCTTTTTCAATTTCACCATGGAGTCTACAGTGGAGTTTTGCCAGGTCAAGCCATTTTTTCTGAGTCCGAGTTACCCAGCTGTGCTTATCTATATCTGTGACTTTACACAGGTGGAGAAGAAACCTGCTTCCACTCCTTTTCTTTCCTATATATATGCTATAATGCATAGAAAAATGTGTGGCTCCACGGATTCAGAATAAGCAGGCTCCAGTGGTCCCACAGTGTAAGTCCTGCTGCCAATGCTGCTACTGCTGGGTGTGTTAGTGTGACCTCTCCTTTGATAATGAGTGACAGCTGCTGTGAAATGTCTCCCAGGGTGTTTGCCTCTCTTAGGCAACAACTGGAAAAACATAAAAATATAGAATTTGGAAGTGAGTTATAGAAAAAAAAAATAAATCTCTGCTTTATGCTACTTGAAAAGGGTTCTTTGACCTTCATATAGCTTCAACAAACTGATGACACAGTAACAACACAGTAACAAGCTCCTGCCAAAACTTTTTAAATCCTGGGAGATGTTTCACAATAACAAATACTGTAATGTTATTGCAATTAAGGAAGTATGTATTTCTCACTACATATGTTTTTTTTGTGTGGGCATGCACTTGCAAGTGGGACAAAAACAGGCCCTTGAACAACAGAACCTTCACATGCTTGGGGGGCTCAAGCTAAATTTCTGTTTCTAAATCTATCCTCTGTGGAGACTGGTTTGGATCCAAAAACGAAAACTTTTTTTTTTGTTTGATTTCTATTCCACTGAAGCAGAAATGTCATAGGTCAGAATTATATATTAAAGATAGTCTATGGTAAGAGTGCCTTGATCTGAAATAAATGAAATCTAAGCATCAGTTTTAAAGTGAAACCAGGGTAAATATTTGATGATTCTTGTATATTACATTTATCTCTTGGGAGATCTTGGCACAAAACAGATCAACTCTCATCTTCTAAAAACTATATCAGTCTTGGGTGGAATTCTCATGAAAAGAAAACCAGAAAGAAGCCATTCCAGGGTTTTGTCTGGATGCAATACAAATTGAAAGCAGTCATAATGTAGTGAATGGGAATCAGCAGACAATCTGTGCTGACATACAACATTTTAAGGACTCAAGGTTCAATTTTAAGCCATCCTGAAAATATATATCCTGTTTAATGGCACAAACATTTACCTATACTTGCATTACAAATGTGAAAATGTATTTCAAAGATGTAGCTTTAGTCAAATTTACCCGACTGTACAAAATTTTAGAAAACTACATGACAGGTGACTGAGTAGTATGGTATGTCCCATTAGAAGTTATGATAGCTCAAGATTTGGTTTTATCCTAAATCTGACAGGAATCCTACATATAAATAATATAGGATTGCTCATTAAAAAAAAAAAAAAAAAGAAGTTTGAAAATACCATTTTGTCATTTTAAATGAAAATTGTCAATAATTCTGAATGAGAACAAGGTCACAATTCAGAAATTGCTGCATCTTCAACTCTGGACTATTTTATCAGAATACTAGCTGTAAAAGGAAAAATTATACACCACTAATTTACTTAGTCTTCTGTCAGCAGTGCATGAGATAGGATCTAAAAGGACTAAGAAGATCTGGCCAATGCATTTTGTAGATAACATTTTTTGGTTTAGTCATTCTGAAAGGTTTCCATTATGTAAGAGAAGAAAGATAGGCCCCATCAGCTTGAGATTGAAAAGTTTCCAAACTATGCACAGCATAGGGAGTCAGACAAACTACTTGAGATTATTTCTTTTGCAAAAATATCAAATAATATATTGCCTGTGATGGCAAAGAAGAAAGCAAGCTCTCACCCTTATAGCCAGCTGCATTGGTTTTCCAGTCGTTAGCATTCAGATGTCCTGCACGTGAAGTCCTGACAATAATGTGCTGTATGTCTCTCCAGGTCAAAAACGGACTAAGAAAAAGGGGAAAGACAAAAGTCATAGATCAGACATATGCTACCAGGATGTAGGGATATAAGGTCATGTAAACTGAAAAGCATCCAAAGCAAAACAACCATAATTTTTCCTCTCTGTTTTCCTTCGCTCCATTCAAAAGAACATGTCCTAATTTTACAGAAGTACTACATGAAATTATTTATACATCTGTAACATTTGCAATAAGCAGACTGTAACAATATTTGATAACTATTTGTTCTATTATACAAACCTATATATTCTATTATATAAACCTAAGGGAAGATGAAGGAGTACATTTCACACAGAAGCAATTTTTATGAAAATCAACTACTGCACCCCAATCAGTGCAAAGGAGAAGAAATCAAACTTCCAGCTTGCTGAAAAGCTCTACTAAATCTCACTATCTGCTAGCTCAAGCCAACAATTCCTTTAGACTTTCAGTTCCTGCTGAAGCTATTCCAGGTGCCTCTTTTGTTAATAATTTGTCTACTACCTCTGGTCTTGGAATTCACTGGGGGTCTATGCATATTTTTCAAGAGGACCAAGCAGTCAGCACTGAATCTGGACAGCTGGATAGGTACAGAGCAAGTACGTGATTGCACAGATCTGTATTCCTTTAAGGGACTACAGATCAAGTAGCTGATTGCACAAATTGCACACTCCTTTAAGGGGATTCCTAATAATCTGTCCACCCAGAAGAAAAAGAAGATGCCATTTGTATTCTCACTATTTTTAATACACATTTATCTCATAGGATTAGGGCATATCTTTAGGGATTGCAGTTTTCTGTTTCTTCTATATCAATGTCAAAGAGAATTTATTTTCTTAGAAGATGATCTAAAAGTGTAATCATTGGGGTATTTTTTCTTTCTCCTTCCAGGAGGGATGGATGTGCTTCAAGCAGGAAGTTTTGAGAGCACAGGAAGAGGCTGTACCGGTGTGCCGAAAGGCAAGCCGGCGGGGAAGACAACCAGCTTGGTTCAACAGGGGGATTCTGAAGGAAATCAGGGATAAAAAGAGAGTTTACCAGCTATGGAAGAAAGGGCTGATTACTTATGAAGAATTCAGGAAGACAGCTAGATTATGCAGACAGAAAATCAGGGATGCAAAAGCACAATTTGAAGTTAAATTGGCCACTTCTGTTAAGGATAACAAAAAGCACTTCTATAAA